CCAACCGTCACCTCCAGGCGCTCTCAGCGTGCCTGACCCAGCACACCTGCTAGTGCTAAGGCTGGCAGGGGTTCTTGGCGTGTTTAGGTTAGGGGGCTGCAGCAAAGTGAAAGAGGCCTCCATGGCCCTCTGCACCGGAATGCCACACCCTACCTTGGCTTCTGAGTCTCTGGCCACTGCAGGCCTGGTCCAATGGGCTTGGTGTAAGGATGCAGGTCATTTTGGTCATTCTTATGATACTGATGTGTTTTACACTATTCCTAGGTTAGCTGACCTCTCTCTGTCAGTTTAGCATAGTCCATGTATGTGGACAGAGCTTTGGGTTTATTGGTTGGTTTTGACAGTGGAAGAATGGTTGATTCCTCGAATTTTTTTGTTCTCTTTGTCTTTCAGGACCCTAAATTTTCCCCTCCTTTTTTTCTTATTTCTCTTTACCACTCAATTGTGAAATACCATGGGGGTTTTCTGTTTGTTTGTTTGTTTGTTTGTTTGTTTGTTTGTTTTGACTTCCCCACAACAGATTATGTACTTTAAGCCAGGCCTGTCCCTTTAATTACATCTGTCTTTTAAAAATCTTCCCAGCTTTCTGATTAGATTCCTATTGCCACTATACCCACACGTTTTGCGGCTTAACACAAGCAAATGGTGTTACCTTACAGTTCTAGAGGTCAGAAGTCTACACTGGGTTGGCAGGGCTGTGTCCCTTCTGGAGTCTCCAGGGGAAGCCTCTCTGAGTATGACTCCTCTGACACCTCATATACATATCACACAGTATTTGTCATTTTGTGACTAACCTATGTCATTTAGCACAGTGTCCTCAAGTTTGATTCATGTCACAGCCTGTGAACAGAATTCAAAATTGGAAAAGACATGAAAGCGTACAATGACTTTGCTCCCATTCATTCTTCCATCCATGCGTCCATCTATCTGTCCATCAAGCATGCCTTCACACTCTCATTCATCATGCATTTACCTATGCAGGCATCTGTTAATCATTACCTAAATCCTCCTCTGTGATTGGCCCTGGGAAGATGAGGCATCCTCAAGGAGTCCCCAGGCTACCACAGTGGACTTCCCTCAGGGATTGTCTGCTTTCTCTGGGTGGTGTCAGTTCCACTGCAGTGACAGTGTCTCAGTCTTCGCCGTCCTTGGACCTGGTGGCCGTTGCCTGCCATGTGCGGAGATTCTAGCCATAGAGTGTGCATCCATGTGGCTGGAGCGCTGCCATGTTTCAGGGAGCGGAGCCATGAGCCTGGGAAGCTTGCAGTTGGTGAATGTGTCACTGCAGGGGTCTGAGCAGCTGCTCTCCTCTTTGGTGCAGCATGAAGCACATCCTCCCATCTGGCCAACCTCATCCTGTTCCCAGCAGCCCCCGCCATATACAAGCTCATTCGGGCTGCATGCAAGTCGCCTCCATCCGCTCCTGGGAGCAGCTGGGCTACCTCTGCTCCTGGGAGGACAAAGGTATTTAAACTCACAGTGCCCCAGTTGATGTCTCCTTCTGCCCATTTAGGTCCAGGGACGTCTGCCGTTATTTTTGTGGCTTTTCTCCTGGGCTTCAAGGTGCTGCTGATGATGAGTTTCACAGTCACCTACATCCACAGGTGGCGGGACCTGTAGCAGGTGAGTTGGAGGCAGTTTTTAGGGAGGAATGTCAGGGTCAACCTCCTGGGCTGGAAAGAGGAGTCCAGGGTGTGCCCACGTGGTCACCACAGCCTGACTTAGCCTCAAGAGAAGGTTCTGAATGCTCTTTTTTCTCAGAAGCTTCCAGCTCTTACACACTGTGTGGTGCCTGGAGTTTGAAGGTTTTCAAATTAAATTATGTGGGACCCTGCGGATGGTGGTCCAAGGTGGGATGAAGGTCAAAGCTTCAAGACCAAAACTGTAAAGAGTCCCCCATAAACTGTTATATATTTCAGTTTTCATATGAGACATCTTGGGAATGAATAAGAAAGTATTGCCCAAGGCAGCTACTAGAACCCACCTGAGAGGCTAGTGGTGAAGATGAATGTGGGAACGGAAGAGAGTTCAGATCCCGGAAGGAGGTGTGTGGGGGTGGTGGTGAGTAGGGGCTTCCTTTCTTATCTGTGCATGAACCCAGGACAAACAGAGTGCCTGCCACTTCGCATGTGCTCAGTAAATATTTGTGGAATTAATGCAGGAAGGAAGGATTGACCCTTTTGCTTCCATGAATGAATGAATGAATGACTTTCCTACAGCTCTTCCCTGTCACGGGATATATTGCCTTCTGCCCTCTCTGAGAGGCTTAAATAGGAAGAAGAAGCTGCACAAACCTGCAGATTGTCCAAGGCCCCTGCCCTTCACTCTGTCAAACCCACCTCCATCACCAACATGCTCCTTCCCACACCCTCCTGATGTTGCTTCTCTGTGGTAATAAAGCTGCATCAAGGATGGCCTTCGGTCACGGAGACTCAAGGATGTCCGGACCTGATGCATTGAGCTTCACACTGGCCCTGCCTCCACCCAAACCAGAACCGGGAACATGAAGAGAACAGATTTCACCTCCCCTGACCATAAACAACTTTTAATATTCGGAGATTTCACTTTTACCCAGAGCTTCTGCCAGTATAATTTTATTTTAACACATAGATACTTGAAATCACTAAGTTGAATAAACATTTTACTATTTTGAACTTTATAAAGAATATTAATGGTATCCATGGACCTACCATCTCTCTTTGCAAAACATTAAGATATTGCTATTATGTTCTCTGTTTCTTTTGAAAAAACTTTGAAATTCAGTATTTTGATTCATGGTTTTACATTTTTACAACATGTGTGTAAATCCTTAAGCATTATTTAATATTACTTTGCCTCATAAATTTTATTAAAATGCTATTTTTCTGTATGAAACATTCTGGAACTTGTATGCTTAACACGGTTCTGTGTGTTTTAATAATGTTGACATATGTGACTCCATTTTACTAATTCTCCATACTCTACAGTTTCCTATTGTAGGATATGCTATGATTTACAGATTCTTCTCAAGATGGTAGTAAAGCTCTATCTCATGTTTAGCTGGTGCAACTTTGCAACAAGCGTTCCTATACAGCATTTACTTCCTTGAAACATACCAGAGCCCCCTTTTGTTCCTCTGTGTGGTCCACAATCAGCAGCGCTGGTTTCCTCTGGAAGCTTTTGTTCTACCACAAGCTGTTTTCCACTTTTGATCCAGTTTTGCTCTTTCGATGTTTGCCTTTGCACTGAGTATATTGCCCGTGCATGTGTGTGTGTGTGTTGTATGCGGTGAGGACTTTTTCCTCCACAAGGAAAAATTACCCAGCACTCAGTGATTGCTCTGCCACCTTTGACATATGTCCACTTTCCATAAATACCTGGTTCTATTCATGAGCTCTCTGTTGCTTTGAGCTACTTGCCTGTCTCTGTCAGAACTAGCCTGTCTTGGTCAGGACAGCGTTATCATCAGTGTTTATACGTCTTCTGGGCAAATCTTCCCAACACTTTTTGTTGTTCAAAATGGTGTGCGATTCAGGGCCCAAATGCATTATAGAATGACTTCGTCGTGTTTCACGAAAAACCATATTGGAATTATTATTTTATTGCATTGAATATACATATATTAATTCAGGCATAGTGATCTCTTTTTAATATTGAGTTTCCCCATTCGTGGACATGATATGCCTTTATTTAGGTCTACTTTTTTAACTTTAAATTCACAATTTGACATGCTTTTCCCCATAATTGTTTATGCATCTCTAATTAGAGCTATCTTTAACATTTCCTCATTCATGAAATCATTAAAAGTTATCATGACTATTTCCAGGGGTTTGTGGCTACTGTGTGGCCTGGTAATTGACTGTGATCATCACTCCTATCCCCCAGGCCTGTGAAACACTTACTACTCCTAACAGTGTGGGCAGTCTTCTTATTTGCAACACGGACAACATTAATGATCTAGAATTAGATCTTGCCTTCTTCAGGGTTACATATACAGGTGTTTTCAGAGGAAAATAGTTCTACAAGTTCGACAGATGAAAACTGGGATCAACCTCACCTCTCACTATTTTCCTCCTCCCAGAGGCAACCATTTTCACCTCTGCTAACAGATTATTTTAGATTTTACTGCCAGACCTCACATAAATACTCCTGCGGCTCTTCTTGATTTCTGAACTCTTACGATTTATTTTACTCACAGCGTTTGGTGTGGACATAAGTTGCATTTCTCTGAGATAAATACCTGGGTGTATAGATGTGGTCATATAATACACATGCTTTCCGGAAAGTTGTGAGGAAATTACGTCCTTTGTTGCAAGGAGGCACATACCAGTTCTGCAGTCCACACCACACTGTGCGTTTGGGTGGAGTTTTTCCAGTTCCATCAGTAAATGGTTGGAATAGAAGGTCTTTCAGAGGAGGACCTGGTTCCATCCCAATGCTGACTCGGTTCTGATGAGCCCTCTTCCTTCCTCCAATGAGTAGCTCTTGCTGAGGCTGAAGGAGATGAGGCCATAAGCCGGCAACATCCTAGGATCCTGTGCTTGGGAGTCTGGCACACAGCCCACACCGCAGACCAATATTGTCCTGAGCCCCAAAATAGGGTATCACCATGAACCTCAGATGAGCTGAGGGGCCAGTAGAGAGCAGAGGCCCTGAGCACTACACCCTGGAGGCCTGTCCAAGTCCCTCTGAAAACTAAGATGAGTAACTGCTCACCCTGAGGTTGCTTTCCTGACTGATTATTTCACAATCTAGAAGCAAGAACTGTTTACAAAACAGAAACTGGCTACTGTGTCACAGCCTTCTCACCCCTTCCTAGGCGCTTCCCCTTGTATACACAGCTGGGGCCTCACTCCTCTCACAGATCAGAGAGTCCGGGTCCTCCGGGCACAGACTTGGACACAGCAGGCCCCTGAGGCCTCCAGGATGCCCATCCCTGCCTCCTGGCCCCGCCCTCCTCCTTGCCTGCTGCTGACTCTACTGCTGGGCCTCCCAGGTGAGCACTCCTTGGGGTAGAACATTCTCTCCCTGCCCCTGGACTTCTTTTTGCCCCTGAAATTTCAGGGCCTCCAGGGAAACATGGGTGTGTCACCCAGGGCTGCACACAAGGCCAAGGACAGGGCTTTATCTGAGCGCATGAAGTCAGGGATCTGAGTGGTTTCTCTTTGGGTCCATCTCCAGCAGCTGGTTACCTGAGGCAACAAAACAGATGATGCTTTCCTGGCCAGCATTTCTCAGTGGTTGAGCATCGAAATAAGAACCAGGAAGTCATAGTTCAATTCCCAGTCAGGGTACATGCCGGGTTGCGGCCTCGATCCCCAGTGTGGGACATGCAGAAGGCAGCTGATCAATGATTCTCTCTCATCATTGATGTTTCCATCTCTCCCTGTCTCTCTGAAATCAATACAAATGTATATTTTTTTTAAAAAAGATGATGCTTCAAACTACAATAGGGACAACTTTGTGTGTATTGACTCGTGTCACACTCAAACGTCCCTTTGTGAGAGCTGTGAGTATTATCCTGGACGTGCAGATGGGGATCCGAGATAGAGAGAGTAACTTGCCTGTATCATCATCTAATTCAGTAGAGCAGCCAAAGGTCAAGTCTGGGCCACCAGCTTCCAGAGCTCTTTCTTTCGTATTTTTTTAATATATATTTATTGATTTCAGAAAGAAAGGGAGAGGGAGAGAGAGATAGAAACATCAATAATGATAATCATTGATCTTCTGCCTCCTATATGCCCCCTACTAGGGATCAAGCCCACAACCTGGGCATGTACCCTTGACCAAAATCAAACCCAGGACCTTTCAGTCTGCAGGCGGACACTCTATCCACTAAACCAAACCACCTAGGGCCCAGAGCTCATTCTTTTAACCATAGTATGCTGCTTGGCTTGGCAGCAAAGCCTGTTAGCAGAAAAATCAAAAAACCCAGAGAAGTAAACTGAAAAATAGTCATCTACTACTGAGACACTCAGAGACACTGAGTTCAATTTCCACTATTTGTATTCGCAAAAGTTTGATAATTATTTGTTGCATGTTTCTAATGTGCCAAATATTTTACTGAGCTTTTAATATGTGTCTAATTTCATCAATCCTCAAAACAATCTGTGTCCTGTCATGCGAGGCCACACTTCTATATATACTTGTGATGCATGTATCTATGCGTGTGGGGTATGTGCATGTAGTTGGTGTGAGGGCCTGCATATACACACACACATGCGCGCGCGCTAAATTTTAAAAAGCTTTTCCCTTTTGTTCTCTTCAATCCTTTTCAGTGACTACATGAAATGCACATGTACAGATGTTTAGTTCTCTCTTCAGACACCCGCCCTCCTTTCTACTTCTCCAAACTCACCCCATACCCTCCACCAAACTCTTAAGATAAGCAAGCTTCTCTGTTGGTAAAATGAGTAAAACTTGCCATCAATAAGTGAATGGATTAAAAAGATGTGGTGCAGATATTCAATGAAATATCATCTATACTAATAAAAGAGTAGTATGCTAATTAGACCGGGGGTATTCCAGAAGACCATCTGGACATCCTTCCTGACAAAGCTAGCAGGGTGAAGCTGCCCTCCTGCAGTTCCCAGCGCCAACACCTGCAGCTGGCTGCAGCCCAGGAGATGGAGAAGCCGCCCACAGTCCCGGGCCACAGCCACCCAGAGAAGCCACCTGTCCCATGGTCCTGGGGGAAACGGAGAAGCTGCCTGCCTGAGGTCCAAGCACTAGTGCCCAAGGCTGACTGCGGCTCAGGAGACAAAGAAGCTGCCTGCCCTGTGGTCCTGGGCCACAGCCAGCCAGAGAAGCCACCCACACAGCATCCCCGGGGGAGACAGAGAAGCTGCTCGCCTTCAGTCCAGGAGCCAGCGCCCGAGGCTGGCTATTGCCCGGGAAACAGAGAAGCCGCCCGCACCAAGGTCCTGGGCGCCAGTGCCTGTGGCTGGCTGCAGCCTGGGAGACAGAGAAGCCACCCACCCTGTGGTCCTGGGCTGTAGCCAGCCAGAGACGCCACCTGCTCTGCAGGCCTGGGCACCTGCAGCTGTAGCTGGGGTGAAGGCACCAGCCCATCGTCCCCTGTGGGTGCATCTGGCCCAAGCGAAGCTGGCCTGGGTCCCGGGTGCCTGTGGCCAGCCAGAGGAAGGGAAGTCCTGGTCCTGGGTGTCTGTAGCCGGCTAGAGGAGGGAATCCTGGGTCCTGGGTTCAGGGCCAAGGAAGAGATTATTAGGAGCGATCAAGCCAGCAGGGTAGCAGTTAGGGGTGATCAGGCTGGCAGACAAGCGGTTAGGAGCCAGTGGTCCCGGATTGTGAGAGGGATGTCTGGCCTAAACCCGCAGTGGGACATCCCCCAAGGGATCCCAGATTGGAGAGAGTGCAGGCCGGGCTGTGGGACACCCCCCATGCACGAATTTCGTGCACCAGGCCACTAGTTTAGTGATATAAAAAATAAAATCTTGCAACTTGCAACAACACAGATGGACATAGATGCTATTACCCTAAGTGAAATGAGTCAGAAAGGAAAGACAAATGCCATATGATTTGCATTGTGAAATCTCAAAAGACAAAAGAGAAGCAAAATCATGTATAGAGAAGAGCTGAGGTGCCAAAAGGGAAGTGTAGGGGGATGGGCGGGGAAAATACGTAGAATTCTGTTCATTACTGTCTTGGAGTGTCTCTTCAATGCTGGATCAGGATGAGGAGGAAACAACAGAATGAAAGATACAGAGAGTGCGGCTAGGTGCTCTTACGTATAAATATACCTCTATCCATATCTGTATCCTCTGATATCAGTTGAAAACTCAAGGCCTCGGAAAATCTGCTGAGTTATAACTTTCTAATTTTCTGAGCACTCACTCTTCTCACATGCCTGTGGTATCTGACCCATGGATCTAGCCATGACTCTCCTCAAATGTCTGTGCCCCCACCCA